AATGTATGTATATATGTTTTAATTAATAATTATTTAAATAATAATATTTGAAATATTATATGTGTTAAAGATTGTAAATGATCATTCCCATGATTCAGAGGCAGCCTTGATTGAAGCAAATGTGGCAATTACAAATATGAATCAACGAGCTAAAGACATTCTCGAACCAACTTCGAGCGTAATAAATGAATGTACCAGTAGGATTTCACAAGCGGCTAAGGTACATAATTTTTATTTTTGGTTAGATAATCTACGTTCACTGTATATCGACATATTCTATCATGCCGACATGTCTTCTATTGACATATTGTATATACTGTATAGTGTACAATTTATGACCGTCAATTTGTCACAGTACATTGGGTTTAATCGTTTAATCGTTGAATGATAATATAAGGATAAGAAGGCGTCGCACCCGCATGTGTTATCTCCGTGGTTGCGACATCTATGAACAATAAACATAAATAAGAAAATTTACAGCCACTTTATGTTGCCTATGTCTATATTTTTAAGGGAGCGTTAGCAGAAAACGGAGCCATAAAAAAACAAATCAAGCAGCCCCGGATGCACCAAAAGGCTTGATGACACTTGTGTTACCTGATAAATTTAAAACTTATTCGCCATAAGAGGGTATTGTGGAACAATTTTCACTACATGACAGCGGACCAGGGGAAAATAGAATTTTAATATTTGGTCGTTATCGGAGCTTAGAAATATTAGCTGAATCTACTAGTTGGTATGCAGATGGTACTTTCAAAGTGAAGCCATCACTTTTTTCTCAAATGTATGTAATATTGGAAAATATATGAAAGTAGTATAAAAAGGTAGGTTCAGACACCGCAACCCATTATCCCATTATCCTTGCATTATCCCAAGACCCCATTATCCTTGCATTATCCTCATCACACCGCAACCAGCAACCCATTATCCCATGGACCCCATTATCCTTGCTGATCCGCACCCTCATCCCTCATCCCCTCATCATCATCACTCATCACACCACCCGCATCCTCATCCCGCTGCTGAGCGTTACTTATATTATTGTTATCACACGTTATCACCGTTATCATATTATTTCCGTATTTTATTACATGTTACGCCCGAAAATAAGCTAAACATTTTTTTCCGGACCGGGATTCGAACCCGAGTCCGTCGGTTCGGCATTGATCACCGTACCACTGCGCCACCCCGTCACTTTATATTAATAACTTGCCCTATTTAACAGGTACGTTAAATACATAAAACTGCAAAAGAAACATTTAATAATAGCTTGCAGCTGCGCGTATTGTCATTAGAAAATCCGTTCGCACGCTCGCCGAACAATCAATAAATGACCATTATACCTATAGTATATCGAATAGAAGATACCAATTAATGAAAAAACATTAACCCTAATAGCCTAATTATTGTCATAGCCAGGATGTCTTAATAGTCACCTCTCACGTTTGCACCCATCTTAACATTAGACCACAATGGTGCTTCCGTCGTATATTTCCTGCCATTAGATATTATTCGTATTCAATATTTGTACACACACACAAGGAAACATTATAAAATAATCAATAGTCCGTCTACAGACTGTCGCCAGGATGCGATTTACTTAACGATATTAAAATGCCAATCAGTCAGTAATGACCGATATAACATTAGACTATTCAATATTTGTTTACACACAAGGAAACATTATAAAATAATCAATAAATGACCATTATACCTATAGTATATCGAATAGAAGATACCAATTAATGAAAAATATATTAACCCTGATAGCCTACTTATTGTCATAGCCAGGATGTCTTAATAGCCACCTCTCATACACTAATAATAAAAGTATCTGCCACAAGAAGCATTAGCGTACCTCTGCGTATATATATCACCGAGTATAGCTGAAACGGTTTAGTCTACCCGACACATTCACCGTTCTCGTTCCCTCGCGCCGACTTTATAGAATTTACAGTGTTTTAATATTTTTACAATTGTTTTTCTTTTCGTTTTCATTTTTCTATCATCATTACCTTAAACATTTAAAAAATGTTTCAATGCGAACAGTGCCCTTCGGTTTTCACCATGAAACAAAATTTGACTAACCATCAAAAGAAGCATGCGGGTATACGTTTTCCGTGCACTGTATGTCCTTCGACATTCACATACAAGTCTGGCCTCATCAAACATACGAAGAACATTCATGGTATGTATTAATAATATAAAGTTTTATTTCTATCGTATACAATCAAACATACAAACTTATGTATACTGACACAGGTAAATATACTAAAACTATTCTCTTGTGTGTATATATATATATATTAATTATTATTTCAGATTCGTTGGTATACCATATTAAAACTGAAGATTTTACAAAGACTTGATTGAGAATCCCAACTTGATGGATAGATTAGACACGGCGGACTTGCCTCCTACCCATCCGTGCTACACTACAGCTAGGAAGAAGGTGCCCGGTTTTTTTTCTGATGAAGCAAAAGGACATATAATGACAGAGTTTTGTGCACTACGTGCAAAATCATACGCGTACAACATAAATACAGGAGAAGAGGATGTGGTGAGAGAGCAGATCAAGGCGAAAAAATTTAATAAAAAAATAAAAGGTTACTTCATCTTCACCGTTTGAAGATGTAGTCATGATGGATCATGACCTTTTATTTTTTTATTAAATTTTTTCTCAGTCTAACCTACAGCAAACTAACCAAAGTTAACCTACACGAAACTAACCTAACCTAGTGGTGGGAAGGAGGGGGGGAAATGTATTCTGTGATAATGCATAATATAGATACACCTAATATGATTTTTATATGAAAATCTGGTATTTTGTATTTACGTATCGGTCTGATTAAGATATTTTTAACAATAACTGTATAGTACCCATGTGCATCGAGGTATACATATTTTTATATTTTCGATCAATGTGTTTATATTTACAATCAATATGCTGATATTTACGATCAAAATAATGATATTTATGATAACTATAGGAATATAATATTTTTTATATGGATGTATCTAATAATATGATTTTTATTCGAAAAATCAGTTGATTTTTAATACGAGAATGAAGTTTGTATATATTTTTATTTAAAATATAATATTATTATACAAATATGTGTATTAACTATCAAGGTCTGAACAGTATCTATATGTGCCGAGGTATAAATATGTTTATGTTTACAATCAAAATGATGATATTTACGACAACTATAGAAGTATAATATTGCTTATATGGATGCATCTAATATGATTTTTTATTTGAAAAATCAGTTGATTTTTAATACGAAAATGAAGTTAGTATATATTTTCATTTAAATTATTAGGTTATTATATAAATATGACGAATACAATAAAAGCTATATTTATATCGGCATTGCAGACTGTTAAAATTAAACATTTTTGTGAGATTTTTATTATTTAAGTATCGTCTTATTAAGATAGTTTTATCAATATATAATATATAGTACCTATGTGTTGGAGTATAAATATGTTTATATTTACGATCAGTATGTTGATATTTGTAATGAACAAAGAAATATAATAGGATGTATACCTATATAAAATAGAACTATGACTAATATTATTTAATATTATTTAATATCTACTGGACATGGTGAGATATATCCTAACTTCTGATGGTAATATACATGCGTTTTACATTATTTATAAAGTAAATAGAATAATGTATAAAAAACTTAAAAGTTTTTGCTATAAGAAAATGGTTTATAAATATTTCTTAAAAAAATATAACAATAATAATATTTTAACATTGTTTTTTATTTTACATAGGTAACTTAACATTTTCAATACATGGTATTTTACAATATAACAAAAATATATATACATGATATATTAACACTAATCTCTCTTCATGCCTAGTTTTTTGTGCACGTATGAGCCGTATGAACACTTTTAAATTTGATTGAACAACAACGTAAAATTCTAAGACCTATGTTTAATGATAGTGACATTGATATTGATATTGATTCTGAAATTAGTAATATGTTATGGAATCATATAATGGGTAATTGCTGTTTCGAAAATCTTTTAAAATATAAATATCACAAAAAACATAATCAATTAAAATCATTTAACTTCCATTTAATTAGTAATTGTTGTTTCGAAAATATTTTAAGTTTTATTAAAAACAAAAATCATAATGAAATTAAACTTTCACTAAACGAACTACGTAAATTAATACAAGATGAATTACATAATAATAATAATATGTAGCTAGACTGATTATTTTTTTAACATCCGGTATTGAATAGCTTATCTACTGACTACTATTTAAATAGTGTTAAATGACATACATTACATGCCTAAGCATTGTGGCGTGGTGCAGTGGCGTATTTACGGGGGGGGGGGGGATTTGGGGGATCAATTCCCCCTTGGTATTTTTTTTTGCTATTATTAAAGGATTCAAGTATACATAAATAGACACTGAATCGTCTATTTGTTTTAGTATTTACTATGTATTTTTCATTTTTGTACATACAGTAAGAAAAAATCAATTATAAGGTTATTAATAGACTGTTATTATTACGCTACTCAAACTCCGCAATGTCCTAAATGGTGCGTTTTCTGTATAAATGCGGGCTGCACTCGACGTACCAGCTAGACACGACTGTAGTCAAGGCAGAGGGTGGCTATAGTTCTATTCACGTGAAGTCAGCAAAACGTCGTGGAACATAGTAACCATTTATGACTAAACAAAATTCCCAGTATTGATTTATGTTTGTTAAACTGTAAACTGGTGATAAAGAAAATAAACGGCATTGGTATTTTTAGACGAAAAATGAATTGAATGAGCTGATAGTAATTTTATTTGTATAACATAATGTAACATAATAACTAATATTTAATATTATTTACATTTAAACGTAGAACATTAAAATCTACCTACTATCTTAACCATAATCAGTTTTTGGAACTTGTCATTTTGTAAAATCGTGTTTATTGTATAATCATTTACACTAAATTTCGTTGTGTGTAAAATGAAGAGAATTACGCTGGACTACTTTTTTAAGCCACAAGAAAAGAAATCGAATATTTATGTGGAAATTGAAGATGTAAGTAAAACTGTTAAAGCAATTCAATAATAATAATTAATTATAATTATAAATTATCTCGTTATTAAAACGTATCTATTATTATATTATTGGTTATGTTTTAATTTGTTTTAGATAGAAAATGCTCCTGGTAATACTAGTATTATTGATGAAAAAGATTTTGAGACTTGTGTAGATGACATTTCTTTATTTAGTAACACGGCTAAAACATTAACAGATGAGGAAAAAATTAAGGTAAAATGTAATAAAGGTAGCTAAGTAATATAATATTTTATATCAGTGAAGTAGCTAGATAGTCACTGGGGCACATACATAAAAAAAAATATTTGGCTATCTACAGCAATGTATTATTATATATTAATAATTATAATATTAATAATATGTATTATGTTTTGCAATTACATCTTTTAGAAATCATATGTAGGTATTTATTATAAATAAATATTTATATATTTTAATTTTTAGATGAAATCATAAATAATTCCTAATTTATTGCTTTTCGAATAGGTTTTGAAACACATTTGGGTTCCTCCTAACAATTTTACTTTTCCGGTAGTAGAAAATAAAAAGAGAAAATTAAAATTTCAGTCGTCGTGGATGAATTTAATTCCTTGATTAGCCTTTTCAAAAATTAGACAAGGTGGTTATTGTAAATACTGTGTTACATTTGCCAAATATGGAGGAATTGGAAATCAACCACTTGGACAGCTTGTTGTTAATCCCTTTAAAAATTATAAAGATGCTCTATAAGTAAATAGTTTTTCAGAATTCTTATTCATATGAAATATATAATTTTTATTATATCTTAACTTTCAAAATCTAATAAATAGTTATATATTTATATGAAATCCTAATAAATAATAAAATAATACACTGTTTTTAATTATTAAGGATTTCCGGGTTCATGCTAAAAAAAAGTACCATATTGACGCTGTGTTAGATGCAGAACATTTTTTGGATGTCTATGAAAAAAGAAAAGTACCAATACTACAACAAATTGATAATGATAGGTAAGTTAGCCATATTTGATATACTTTGTAAATTTATTTATTTATGAATTATATTTTAGATTCTGAGCGGAGCGATGAATGTATTGGTTTTACAATGATGTGTGTTTTTATATTTTTTTATTTTTTTTTGTGTCTGTCATCACGTTTTAGGACAGTAAGTGCTTGGATTTTCTTCATCAGTAGCTTTTCTGATAGGAAAGTGAATCTTGTTGGTACTTTGGGGGGTCAAAGTATAAATATCACATTAGTTTTCACAAGCGCCGGGAAAAACAACATCAAAATTAAGGAAAAACGGGAATTTTTACGCAAAATTGGTTTTCCAAAAAATCGATTTTGGTTATTGGTGTAACTCTAAAACAAATGAACGTATATACATGAAATTTTCACTGGTTTTTTATATTTGCATTTTCTATACACGATAACATTTTCAAATATTTTGATTTATTTTGAACTGTTTAGGGACATTTTCATTTTCCATTTTTTTTTTAGTTTTTTTTTCTAAATATATCAATAAAATTTTATTTGTTGGTTGCAAAAGCTTGAAAATTTAATAGAAGGCTCCTAATATATTGTTTCAAAGGCAGATGAAAAATATTAAAACTCCTTAGTCACAATTTTTTTTTATAAGCATTTAATTTCAAAAATTGACAAAATATGGAAAAATCACAAAAATTAGCAAATTATTTTGAGTTAAGAGTTCGTAAAAATTTTTCTTTTTAAATCTAAGATTTAAAAATCTAATACAAGATTACTCATAAGATTGTCTACCTTTATCAATAAAAAAATCTCTACCGGACAGTCAAATTAAATTTTTATGAGAAGTCAAATTAAATTTTTATGAGCGTTTGAAATTCAAATTTTTACAACATTGGATATTCACTCGATTACTCATGTAGCTATTTCCTTATTTTGTTTGTTGCAATTCAAAAACGAACAACTGTAGATACATGAAGATTTCACTGAATGTTTAAATTAGCATTTTCTATACACCATACAATTTTGAAAATATTTTGACTCTTTTTGAGCTGTTTACATTTACAGCTTTCAATTCTTTTTAGTTTTTTTTTCTATAAATATCAATAAAGTTTTATCTGTTGGGCCAAAAAGAGTAAAAATTTAATACAAGGCTCCTGATATATTGTTACAATAGCAGTTGAAAAATATTAAAAATACATAGGCACAGTTATTTTTTACAGGCATTTTAAATTCAAATTTGGACGAAATTACATATTAAAAAACCTAGAATAACTATTTTAGTTATTTTGTTGTGATTGAATAATATAGAATTTAAATTAATTTTCAATGAAGCAAAGGTAATATAAAAACTTAATATTATTTTTATATTTTAATCTAAGTTATCACTTATAGAAATCAGTAGATCCGTTTGGGATTACAATGAAAAGAAAACGTATAGCAACCAAACAAACTAACAGAGCTAATCCTCAAAATATAGAATCAGATGAAGACTATTTCCGAGTGACAATATTTTTGCCTTATGTAGATCATTTCATATCTGAACTGAAGGAAAGATTTACAAATCATAAAAATATTTTAATGGGTAATACCAAAACATTGGTTGTAAATTATAAATAATAGTTAAAGGTATATTTCTATTTTATTTACTAAAACATATGTCATTCAGTGCCTCATCCCCTCCCTTTAGCAATTCCTAAATACGTCGCTGGCGTGTAGGGTTAAGACGTGTGTTTTGAGAGTGAACATTGTAGGTTCAAATCTGACTACAGCAGATTTGTTTCTACTGTGTTTGCTCTCGTAGTAGGATTTAAAATTGGTGGGGGTATCATAAAGCCGGTAATTGTGGCGCTTCGGACGATTGGTGATTTACATGCGAATGTATACTCTGTTCAGGTTAAGAGTGCCCAAAATCGCGCATGCATATTGAGCTGCCGACAGCTGTCAGACCCCCAGGCGACAGCACACGCGCTGTGATTGGTCAGCATTGTCAACCGCCGTCGTCGACTGTCGGATCGGACTATCTGCCGCCGTTTATTTACAGATGGTTGTGCGTCATTGGCACACCAGAGCGCTCCCCATACATACGCGAACAGAACCAGTTTTCGTCCGAGCGACTGGGCACTCTTAACCTGAACAGAGTATAAGTTGTCACGTGGTGCGGCCTACGTTATCACCTTGATTTCTATCTATCTCAGTCTCCAAAGGCTGACGTATATGATATCCTCCTGACCTTTAGATTCTATAAATAAACCACGGCACCCACCACACCACAATGCTTAGGTAAAAAAAAAATATCTCTGTTGTACAGACAACCAGTTAAAAAAAAAAAATAAAAAAAAAGTGAGAGGTGGCCACCATTCTGGATGTCTGTACAGCACAGATATTTTGCAAATTGTTTGTGTTTTTTTCGATTTAAATTATTATTAACACGGTCGTATAATTTGACCTTGTTAAATATTACAAGTCCTATATTTAATTTAATATTTGATATTATCAAGTCGGAACAACACAGATATGTTTTATATGCTTATCTACACTACATATTAAAAGTTTACCAACCGCTTCATATTTTTCATTTAAGTATAACTCCGTTGCTATTTATGTTAGAATCTTCATTTTTACATTAAACATTTTTAATTTTAATTCTTTATAAGTCCCCCTCATAGTATCATAGTGTAAAATGATTTTCAAAGATTTTTGGATTTTAATATTTTTAAATATTGAACATTTTTTAATATATCAATTCTATTAAAAATTAAATTAATAATATTATTATATTCTAAGCATTTTGTGATCAGAATCTGTACCTCCCATGCCAAGACAACATATTTTAATATTTCATAAATCTTGAACAACACAAATATCATGGAGATATGTGAAAAAATAAGTACCGGTTGTATTTATTAAATCATTAGCTATTTTACAAATTTCAAGCCATGTTGGTGATTCTAGTATTTTAGAAGCATAAGGCTTTCCATATCCAGAAATATTGTGTCCATGATCTACAATTAAAATATTTCCTTTAATTGGAATTGTATTTAGATTATATTTCATAATTTTAATATTTGTATTAATAATATTATGGTATTCATATTTACAAAACTTAACAAAGATTTCATTATTTAATATTGAGTTTTCTATTTCATTTTGTATTTCGATTTTTTGTTACTTATTAAAATTTTTTATAGTTTCCATTCTTTTATTATAAATTTTAATTCCTTTAACTAAGGTATTCAATTTCTTTTTAATATATGTTTTGCATTTCGATTTTATTTTTAATAGAACAATTCTATTAAAAAATATTTTAATTATCAATAATTATGTTTTGCTGAAAATATTTTCATTATTTTTGTATTTAATAAAATTTGCGAAAAATGTTTTTATTATTATTTCATTTTATAAGTTTTGCGAAAAATATTTTTAATTATTATTGCATTTAATAAGTTTTGCGAAAAATATTTTAAATTATTATTGCATTTCAATTTTCTGAACTTTTTGCACATTGTTTTCTTTGTGATCTTTTACTGATATATTATGAGCGGCGCTAACTGCGCCAGGATTGGTATATATATACTACTAATATGGATACAAGTATAAATTTATTAAGTTATCAGAACTGGCAGCTGACAAAAGATGTGAAGTTACTGCTGAAAATTTAATATCAAGCTTAGGATTAGGTAAAAAATATATCCATAAACATATTGGTTCAGATATTATATTCAGTAATTATTTTGAAAATAAATTTATCGAAGTACATTGCAATATAACTGAAAATTCTATTTCTAACCATAAAACTGAGAAATATTTGCATATAGACGATGATATTTTATGTGTTGTTAAATGTGATAAGGGTGGCCAATATATAACTAATGATGTTAAATGTATTCCTCTAAATAGAATAGATTTTAAATATATTAAAGTGTTTATCACAGATCAAGATGGTATTGAAATAATATGTTATAATTTTATTGCATATTTAATTTTATATTAAATGGATAATAAATATGAAATTACATTGTTTCATTTAAATGATAATAGCAAATCAGAGTCAGTACTTCCAATACCTATGAGATGTTTAATTATAGGTTCATCTGGATCAGGGAAAACTAACTTATTATGTAATATTATTATTAAGTATTGGATTCCCTATGAAAATCTTTATATTTTTACAAAAAATATTGTTACATGCGGCCCTTCAGGGATCCAAAAGCTGGTGTACTTGATAAATAATAATAGTCAATTAGAATGGTAATCAAATGTATTATATTAAACCAGACAAAACAAGCAGAATAATAGTGTTGATTGTAGTGAATTGTAGTTCGTTCCGAAGTTGATAATCTCCGTGTAAGTCGTGTGTGATGGCTGGGCGGCTAAGCGAGTCGTGTGGTGTTCTCGTCTCTGGATACATCTAACTCAGGCTGTCTCGCTGTCCCCTATATATATGGTGGCGGCGTCCTTTGAAAGTGAGCGGCGCGTGTACAGTCGTCCTTGATATGGACCTCACGACTATGAAAGTGGTATTCGTAGTCGAAAACACTTTTGGGTGTGGTCGCATTCCTGGTTGTTATTATGAGCAAATATATGATATTGCGTAATCCCATTACAATATAGGGCAACCAATTTATGAAAGTATAAAAGAAGTATTTGCAAATTTAAATAATGTAGAGGTATATATAACCAATGAAGAGATAATATCTGTTGATGACTGTAAACCAGATAGCTTAGTCGTTTTTGATGATTATATTTTAGATAAACAAGATAGAATAAAAGAATATTTTGTAAGATCAAGATCTAAAAATATTTCATTTATTTATATAAGTCAGAATTATAGTTTATTAGATTTAAAAGCAATCAGAACAAATTGTAATTTTTTAATTATATTTAAGCAGTCAGATTTTTATATTGGATGAATATGGAAAGATTTTTTGAGTAATGATATGTGTTGCTACCGCAACATAAAAGCATTACGCAATATATAGTACCTACCCAATTAAAAATAAGAATATAGGACATCGGTCACCGGGGAAC